GGACGCTGCGTCATTTATGCTTAACTTTGAATAGAGCAGAAAAATTAAGTATTATGATGTCTATCCCTGAATAAAGGATGATGTTTGGAAGGAGGTAGCTTTCTGACGCATTTAAAGATACGTTTCAAGCAGACCACTCGATCTGGCAGACTGCCACTAACATGTCTACGATAGCAGCAACCTGTGCATGTTGCTACCTACTAAAGAAGTAGTCACCGAAAACTGACATTCAAAAAGGCAGCCATAGAAAAGAGCCCGTTAAGGTCGCAATAACAAGGAAGTCTTAAACTTTCCACCCATTCATTTCATTTAAGTTCGTTCTTCCATTCGGGTTGCGGACAATAGCTTGAGGGCATTTTACCATGTCGCAATACTCGTGGAATAAGCTCTATGTGGAGAGGGGGCAAATTACGACAAATACGGTAAATAAATCTCTGATATGAAGTTTCAGCTTCAGAACAGAAACCAAATAAATTTGAATGGTGTATTTCTGATGAGAAGGTACAAATGTTTGCAAATATCCAGAACAACGTGAAAAACTATATAAATACGTTGAGTCGACTGCAGAACAAGGCCTATTGAGGATTTTGTGTATTTTGGGAATGTCTTGCGAATGCTTCCAGAAAAAAAGGCAAAACAGCTTGACTGATCCTGCGCTGTCCAAGAACACGGGGAAGCCAAAATGACTTTAGACGGGTGTCTTGATGCATTCTGCCCCAGGCTCAGATTATCTTCTGCTAAAATTTAAATGCTGGCACAGGATCATAAACTTTGTTGGCACTTTCTGATGCTTCTGGTTATGCAAGCCAAATGAATAAGCGGTCATCGAAATTAACTAGCAAACTGAAGGAATTTCGGTAACACAGATTAAAAGTAGATTAGAAAGTTATGCAACAACGATTAAGGAAAAAGGAGTTCTGCGTTCGAAGATGGAATATTTTGTTTATTCTTTGGTAACCATACTTAAAAAACAGGAAACGGTTTCTGAAGCGGTAAAGCATCAACATAGCTGGTCCAGTAGGTGACAGGTGAATACCTGACAGACTAGCTGTATTGACTTGTGTCTTAATAACCCATTTTTGGTGCTGCATTTTAGCGAAATTGAACTATTAGCGATGTCAGCTGAAATCAATGCAATCGTTGCACATCCTTCTTTCATTTGCACAAAATTAGACGCCTACAAAGACTTCTTAAAAACAAGACTTATTGGTTTGAACAAAAACCCGTATGATAAACAGCTTGGATATATGTTCAGGATGTCAAGGCAGAAATTCGTAAAAGAACTCACTTCGCAAAGTCACGTGGCAGGAAGCCAAAGGAAATATATAGGATCTTACTAATAAGTAGGTAAAAACTTGACAGGGTCGCGCGAGATAAAATACGATCTCTGGAACTTACCCAGCTGGCAGAACATTGATAAAACCTCTTCAACTTGCTGCCCACGTAAGCAGGAAACTATCGGCTCTGCCAATGAATGAACGTGAAGTTTCCTTCACATAGCTGTTCAGCGCGACATTGCCTTATTATTACTCATAAAACAATAAACAAAGCTTACAATTCGTTCCGGGCCAGCTGTGTAGCGTGACCTGAACATTTTCTTCGAACGACGTCTCCAAGATGTATCCAAGCACCAGGCTGCATGTTCGCCAGTACGCCTAAAATAGTAATCTTTAGGTATGCCACTGGTATTATATTCGTCATCTAAATCTGGGTAGAAGGTAATCAACAATCAAACAGAAATTAAGCAACAGACACCGGAGTGTCGACACTGGGGAACAGCGCTGAACTTATGAATGTAAAATTCACAACTCTGACGCTGCCAATTTCAAACCCTGGGACTGTGGCGAAGTCTTCCGTAAAATTTATGGTGCTATCAAACATTATACCGGCTCGGTCGTCTTCCCGCTTACCAAGAACTGCGCAGGCAGTTGGAGAACTGGGGTAGACTGCGAAACCTCTGCAATCAAAACCTCATTCGTGCCTTCTGGCAGCTGAAAACTGTTGTCGAAAATGGACGCAAAGATGACGACGGTGATTGTCAGCAATGGAGCCGCTACCCGTTCTTAACAACCGAGGCAGATATCGCAATGCCATTATAGCACGTCAGAAAAGGCTCAACGGAAACGATAATGACATTGGCAGCTTACAGTTAGAAAATGAAACACCTTTTCACTCACAGGGAAAGAGTAGCAGCTAGTTGATTAGGACATGAGACCAAATGGACGTAGCTGGACTCTCGTAAACGAAACATCTGCTTCCCATTACGGAAGAACCCAACCTGCTCCAAGATTTCAGATTTCCAAAATGGTTTTCGAACTCAAAACTATTCATAAAATAAGTGGCACTCACTCGATTAACGAAGTACGGATTTTCGTCGGTAAAATACAGAAACTTCAATGAACAGTCAGAAACCAGTGGACGATGCATGTCCCACAGCTTGCCATCCACCAAAGCCAAAGCTGCGCTGATCATGAACTGTTCATTAATATCTGAAAACAGTATGAAAGTAAGGGTTTGATAAACAAATCAATGAACTGAATTAAAGATTCTGCTATTCGAGATACAATAATTTAAAAAAAAAAGGTAAATAAATAAAAAACACCCAGTGTAAAACAAATGATCATGATTAAGAAAATAAAGAAAAGTCTGTAATCGTTCGAATGTCGGTCTTCTTTATACCTTCATGATGGGACCATTTCAAGACGTTAATGGTAGGGCGCTGATCTCCAATTCCATGTCATCAACGAGTACTAATTTAGTATAAAGGAAGAATCGACAGCAGCCATGAGAGGCATAGTATGTAATCTATTGTCTCCTTCCCACAGACTGGTACTCATTCCTCAGCCTCGGAAGGAACAAAATGGAATGAGTCGACTAAAGCTGGAACCCAGGACCTCTAGGTTGTGAATCCCATGCTCTACCGAGTGCGCAACCAGGTCTTTTATAAGGACGATATGGAGTTGCCCCAGCGAACAAAATCATGTTAAATTCATCTAGCACCGAGATACTCCAATACCATAAAGCCGTAGCCTAATTAAACCCTTGAGGCAAGTAGAAGCAAGAAGCGATTATAAGTCATGAAATCCAGTTCTGTGGCAATCAGTGTAGCATAGCATATATCAGTTTCTCTGAATCTTAGTGATGCTCTGAACAAGAACTGCGCTCGAAATGCCGTCTTTGTAGGTACAATACTTACACGTTTTTTGAAACTTCAGATATTCAAAATGATGTGATACGATACGACACATACTGTTTAACATTGTACTGTGCAACATACATCATATAACAATATAACAACATATGATTATATCATTCTGACATCACTATATTCTATTACTCATTTAGTTTCATAAACGGCTATAATATAGAACAAAAGTCTATTCATAATACTATAATAACATAAAACAGATTTATACGAAACGTAATTAATAGATTAACATCAATTAGTTAACGCTTACGCTTCGCACAGTCGTAGGGCGTAGAAATTCCTTTATTTAGTATCAGAGCATGTTCGTCTTCCGCAGGACAGGGCTTCACATTGACCTTAATTTTCTCGACTTTGCCAGCCAGATGGTGCTGCCGTAGTCTCTCAGCGTCAAAAATAGCGTTCTGCTCTGCTCTCCATGAACAACGTCCAGTCGCCGTTGTTGGCGAACAGCTGCTGGGTTCGCTGAGTACCGAAAAGGAACCTTAAACATGGAAGAATAAATTAAAACAAAGGATAAATGCATTTCAAAATTTACATGACGGTGTGCCACGAAGAAGCTTCGCTCCGAAGCGACCTAAGAGTCGATAGCGTGAAACCATTCTGAAAACAGAAACAATTCAGATGAAGCAGATCTCAAACAGAAAAGAATCTGTTAAGTGAGAGAAACTTGAAGAAATTTTACAATTGTATACCATGGTTAAATATTAATTTGAAATGGCGGATAAACGATTTCCTTGAATTCTCAAAATGTATGGAATGACTTTGTTGATCGTTCGAAACTTATGCCAATATGGCACTGAGCCACTTTCAAATAGAAGTCTACGGTATACGTTGAAGAACGGAACAGATCTCAAGGTGTACCGCCTAACTCCTCTCTCTTCTGTCAAATTACTTGAAGGCACTGACAATGTCAAGAGGGGATATGCCAATTTCTGAGCGTCTGGGATGGTGTCCGGGATATAAATCACCTTACCACCGAACCGGGCGATATAGCGTTAAAAAGGTTTTTGCTGTATCGTCTGGCCGTCAAGACTACGGTCACTTTCCTGGATGAACTTCGTCTTCTAATGATGTAACAGATCATAATAGCCTTGTCCATTCCGAATACAGTTCAGAATAGGCCATTCGTAGGGAGCCATGTCCTCTGAGAGTTCGTTGTTGAGCCAAGACCAAGCGGCTTGCTTTGGATGGCTAAGCCTTAAATCTCATCCGGTTCGTTCTTTGGAACTGTGAGAGCGATCTTGCACTGTTCTCATGTTTGAGGACATTGTCTAAAACTGAAGGACACCGTTGCAACTAGTGATTAACACTGAAGATTCAGATGCTTGTTCACTTACAGGCTGGGAACCAGTTGGATATTATCTGACGACGCCACCTGACGAGCGGAAGTTGCGGGAGCTGTCGGCCTTACTAGCTACAAATTCAACTGTCCTTATAGTTGTGTAAGGAATAAGTTAATGCTCTGCCGCTGAATTTGGTCCCTTGAAAGTTACGGGAGGAAAATTCAGTTTCAGAGGTAAGCACTGGCAGCGCAAAACTTTTTGTTTCAAACAGAATAGCAATTTGTGTGATATATTTTTAATATTTCAAAAATGCTCCATACAACTTTTATTCTTCTGCTGATTTCAGAGTCCGTTCTCTGCTGCAGAAATGAGCTGTTTCAGAATAAGGTAGTTTTGCACCTCCTCAAGCCTAATTCCATTGACTCCAACAGAAAGTGGGATTACCGATTTGCTAAATATGATCTGAGTCCTCTTCAGACTTATTTTCTGCATTGCTTTGATGGCGACCACACTAGGCAATGATAACGTACAATTGCTGGAAAAAATTGCTGGTCGTGTATAACACGGGTATTGCTTTCTGCCCAAACTAGCGTTATAACGAACTTTCACTGCACATGAAGGAGACCAAAAATTGCCACCTGTTTGACTGATTTTGCCCTCAGTGTAATTTGAGTAATATTTCATCCAATAACTGATCCTTCCGCCTAAATGGACTGCTCTTCAAACCCAGCAGAATGCAATAAACACGTCAGTTGCTTACGAAATATACTTCGTCGCGCTTGTTGACTAGACACCATGTAAATGACCATGGCTGAAATCCGGAGACCAAAACAGACCATTTCGTCGCTTGCGTGTTGATGAATTTCAGAGGTAACGGAATTGTTCCACACGCTTAACTATCTGAACATACACTAGATTTGG